ATGGGCAAATTCGGTCGAGGAAGATCGAGGGGGATCGAGGATCGAGGGGCCTTCGATGCCTCCGGCCGGGGGAACCCCAGCGAGGGTGTCCGATGCCCCGGCGTCGAGCGGCCCTGCAGGGGACAGGGCTCGCTCATGCAGGGCCGAGGGTCTGGTTTGGTGGGGCCCCGTCTCCCCTTACTCCCCCCTCTCCCTGCGGGGGGGGGGCAGTATCATCCTCCTCCTCCTCCTCCTCCACGATCCTCCTCCCCCTCCCCCTCCTCCTCCTCCTCCTCCTCCTCCTCCTCCTCCTCCTCCTCCTCCTCCTCTTCTCCTCCTCCTCCTCCTCCACGATCCTCCTCCCCCTCCCATTCCTTCTCATCCTCCTCCTCCTCCTCCTCCTCCACGATCCTCCTCCCCCTCCTCCCCCTCATCCTCCTCCTCCTCCTCCTCCTCCTCCTCCTCCTCCTCCTCCTCCTACTTCCCTCCTCTCTCCTCCTCCTCTCCTCCTCCTCCTCCTCTCCTCCTCCTACCACGATCCTCCTCCCCCTCCCACTCCTTCTCATCCTCCTCCTCCACGATCCTCCTCCCCCTCCCCTCTCCTCCCCTCCTCCTCCTCCTCCTCCTCTCCTCCTCCTCCTCCTCCTCCTCCCCTCCTCCTGCCCCTCCTCCTCCTCCTCCTCTCCTTATCCTCCTCCTCCTCCTCCTCCTCCTCCTCCTCCTCCTCCTCATCATCATCATCATCATCAGCAGCAGCAGCAGCATCATCATCATAATCATCATAGTAACCATCAGCATCATCATCAGCAGCAGCAGCATCATCAGCAGCATCATCATCATTATCATCCTCATCCTCATCCTCATCCTCACCCTCATCCTCATCCTTCTCCTCCTCCACTCCTCTTCCTTCTAAATAACTTCTCTCTGTCGCACCCCGAGGCCAGTTTTTAGGGCGGGCCGGGCGTTTCGCCTGAGAATTCCTTACCACTTATGGCTCTGAAGCCTAAAAATGGCAAGAGCTTCACAGATGGAGGGCGGGTCGTTTTCAAATTGTGGCTCTCACCCTGGTGCCGCGCACACTCGTTCTAAAAAGCTGCAAGAGCTTCACAGATTGAGGAGAATCCCTTTCCAAAATGTGGCTGTCGCCCTAGCGCCGCGCACATTCGTTTTTAAAGATTGCAAGAATTCCACGGATTGAGGGCGGTTCCTTTTCGAAATGTGACTCTCGCCTTAGCGCCGCGCACATTCGTTTTTAAAGATTGCAAGAGTTTCACGGATTGAAGGCGGTGCCTTTTCAAAATGTGCCTATCGCCTTAGTGCTGCGCACATTTTTCCTAATATTTGCAAGAGTTACACGGCTTCCCACGATCAGCGAACCAGAAATGGTGTTTTGGAAGGATTATGGATTTTGCGGGTGCAACAATTACGTTGATTGACGGTGTTGAAATCCCCCGAATGGCGTTCTGGCACGATCCAGGATCGTCAAGACGCCAGTCAGTCAGTCTTGGGTTTACACTGGTCCTCCTCCTCCTCCTCCTCCTCCTCCTCCTCCTCCTCCTCCTCCTCCTCCTCCTCCTCCTCTATATCCTCCTCCTCCTCCTCCTCCTCCTCCTCCTGCTACTCCTCCTCATCATCCTCCTCCTCCTCCTCCTGGATCCTCCTCCCCGTCCCACTCTTTCTCATCCTCCTTCTCCTCCTCCACGATCCTCAACCCCTCCCCTCCCCCTCCTCCTCCTCCTCCTCCTCCTCCTCCTCATCCTCCTCCTCCTCCTTTTCCTCCTCCTCCTCTTCTTCTTATGATTCTTCTTAGTATTATTATTATTATTATTTATTATATTATTTTATATTATTATTATTATTATTATTATTATTATTTATTATTATTATTATATTATTATTATATATTATCATTCATTATTATTATTACTATTTTATTATATTAGTATAATATAATAATTATTAATATTAGTATTAGTATTATTATTATTATTAGTAGTAGTAGTATTATTACTATTATTATTAGTATTATTAATACTATTATTATTATTATTATCAGTATTAATATTAATATTATTATTATTAGTAGTATTAGTATTATTATTATCATTAGTATTATTATTAGTATTACTATTATTAATTAACATTAGTATTATTATTAGTATTATTAATAATAATAATATTATTATTAGTATTATTATTAATATTATTATTATTAATAGTATTATGGTTATTATTGATATTATTATTATTCTTATTAGTATTATTCTTAGTATTATTAATAATAATATTATTATTCTGAACATTATTATTATCATCATTATTATTCGTATTACGATTATTCTTATTATTCTTATTCGTATTATTCGTATGATCAATAGTAGCAGTAGTATTAGTATTAGTATTAGTATTAGTGTTATTATGAATAGAATTATAATTAGTATTACGATTAGTCGTATTATTATTATTAGTAGTAGTAGTAGGAGTAGTAGTAGTAGTAGTAGTAGTAGTAGTAGTAGTAGCATTATTCCTCCTCCTCCTCCTCCTCCTCCTCCTCCTCCTCCTCCTCCTCCTCCTCCTTTTCTTCGTGCGCGGCCGCCCGGTTGGCAGGGCGGGCACTGGCTGGCGGCGAGCCAGTGCAGCTGTAAGACATATTTTATAGGAGGGCCCCCCACGGCACAGCTGGCTGGCTCAGCCCGGGCCGGCGGCCCGCCTCGCGGCTGGGTTGCGCCGGTCCCGGACTGGCCGCCCGTGGGTATCTTTTCCCGGGACCCGGAGGGGAGGGGAGGGGGCCCGCTCATGCTGCAGCGGGCGGCGGCGGCGGCGGCGCCCCCACCGGGGCCCCTGGCTGCCTCGCCGCGGCCGTCGGAGGCGCGCCCGAGGCCGCCCGGCCGGCCCGCCAATGCAGCGCCTCCCGTTGGCGCGGCGCCGGGCCGGCCGACGGGGCCGCCGAGGGCGCGCCCGAGGCCACCCGGCCGGCCCGCCAACGCGGCGCCCCCCATTGGCGCGGCTGTGAGGGCCCCGCCGCGGGCGTCGGTGACGCGCCCGAGACCGGCCGGCCCGCCCATGCGGCGCCTCTCATTGGCGCGGCGCCAGGCCGGCAGATGGGGCCGCCTCAGAGGCCGCTGCACGCCTCGCGGGCGAGCGCGGCTGCGACGGCGAGCCCGGCCTCCGGGTCGAGCCCGGCGCGGAGGGCTGTGAGCAGCGCCGCTGGGGGCAGCCCTGCCCACTGCGTGCCAGCGGCCAGCGCCGTCGCCGCCTCCTCCGCCCTGGGGCAGTCCTGCAGGGCGTGCAGGCCGTCTCGGGCGACAGACGCGCCACACCGGCGGCACACTCCCTGCTCGCCGCCCCGCGTCGTCAGGTACCCTTGGAGGCGCATCTGCGACCAAGCTCGGATGGCCCCGGGGAGGGCGTGCGTCATCGCTGCAACGCCCGCCGCCGTGTGCATGCCCCGCGGCGTGTACAGGGTCGCCTCGCGGGCGCGCCAGGCGGCCTCTCGGGCCGCGAGGCGCGGGTCGATCTCCTCCGCCAGGTACGCCCGGATCCGGCGCTTGCGGGTGGGCTTGGTGGGTGCGTGCGCCGGCTCGCCGTGACGGCCCGCGCACCAGGCATCGAACGCCGGCGCGCCCAGGGCGGCGAGGTGCCGGCGGGCTGTGGCGATCCACGAGGATGGCTCCCCTTCTGCCACCGCCGCGACCCGGGCGGGCTGGCTCTGCGGCGGCGCTGCTTCGATCCGGGCGAGGAGGCCCAATGCTGCCCTCAGAGTCGTCGTGCCGAGGCGCCGCGGGTACCCTAGCTCCCGGAGCAGCAGGATGCGCGGCATCGGCTGGGCCAGATCCAGCAGCCGCATCGCCCAGCGATCCTGCACGCTGTTCAGGCGCCCTTCCCAGTCTGGGCGGAGCAGGAGCAAGGGCGCGGCGAAGCACGCGCGGGGCTCCACGCGGGCTGAAAGGGCCCGCAAGGCGAAGTCCACCGGGAGGCCGAGGAGCTCGATGGCCGTGAGTATGCTGGCCCAGCCCAGCTCCGCCCTGCCCTCCACCTGCTTCAGCAGGGCTGCCATGCGCGCCTGCTCGTCAAGCGGGATGCCCAGGTAATCGTGGATCTCCGTGAACGACGCCCTGCCATGAGGCTTGCGGGTGAAGAAGCCCTTCGCCATACACTCCGTTTTCCCGGGCCCGTAGCGGAACTCTGCCCGGAGTCCCTCCGCGGCGTTCCCGAGTGCCTGGAAGCCCACTCGCTGTCCTCCTCCGCCTCCTCCTCCTCCTCCTCCTCCTCCGCCTCCTCCTCCTCCTCCTCCGCCTCCTCCTCCTCCTCCTCCTCCTCCCGACGCAGACCGACCCTGTCTGCTCCGCTTCGCGTTTTGGCGGGCCGGGCCGCCTCGCCCATCTTCTGGGCCGCCTCCTGTGCCTGCGGGCGCCGCGAGAGAGAGGCGGCGGCAAAGGGACGCCGCAGGGCGAGGCCCCCCGAGGCTTCGGCGGCGCTCGACGTCTTGCTTCTGTTGCGTCCGAGAGGCCGTACAGTAGGGGCCCGACCACAAGAAACCTCCCACAAGACACCCAACCCTGAGACCCCAGGACGTCCATCGATGCTTGGTGTGGGAGCGTCACGCTCTCCATGACAGAACCATCGAAATCCAAGAGACCCAGGGCACCCTGGAGGCAAGCAGGGCGCTTCTCGGCATGGGGCCTCCCCTGCACGGGAGACCACACGGGGGAGACTGCGCGCGGGGGACCGCACGGCAGACCGTGCGGGAGATCATACGGCAGAGCATGCAGGGGCACCCTCCGGGGGGCCGTGCGGGAGACCATGAGGGAGACCGTGCGGGGGACCCCCAGCGCCTGTTGCCACGGCGGCCTGAAGAATCGGCGGCGCGCCCAGGGGAAGCGAGGAGGCGAAGGCCTCGTCAGCGGGCGGCGGGGCTGCTCAGAGGCCCCCTGGCCTTCTGAGAGGCGGTCGCGTCTTCGGGGACGGCTCAAAAGAAAAACTTCCCGGCACGCGGGGGACCTTCCGAGCACTCTGCGGAGGCCCGCCCCCTCTCGCTTGCCCCCAGGCTCGCCGCCGAACAATGGCCCGGAAGCCCTGCGACGAGGCTGCCGCCCTGCCCCGCAGCGCGGGCGGGCCGACCTGGGCTCCTTACTGGACGACTGCCAGCAGCAGCGGCCTCGGGGGAGCGGAGCCTTCAGGCGGGCCTCTCGGCGGCCCCGACGGGCGCCGCAGAGCGTGGTGGTGGCGACGGCGACGACGACCGCGACGTGGGCCACGACGACGAACTCGACGACGGCAACGACGGCGACCACGACCATCACTACCACCGCCGCCGCCACCGCCGCCCTCACAACGGCGGCCACGACCGACCGCGACCTTTCGACGTCGACCTAGACAACGATGACGACGACGACGACGACGACGACGACGACGACGACGACGACGACGACGACGACGACGACGAAGGGCCGGAGCCTTGTTGAACGTCTCGCGCCCCATCTGCTCGAGGACGGCGAACGGGTTGCCCGGCTGAGGCGACTGGGGTGCCTTCGGGGGCGGCCGAAGCCAGGGGCTCCCGAGACCTCCGAGGCAGAGGCTCGACGGCTCGGGGCCGCCGCACCCGCCGCCAGGCCCGCCGCCGCCGCCGGGGCCGCAGCCGCCGCCGCCGCCGTCGTCGAGGCTCGGCCTGCCGTCTCGAGGAGGAGGAGGAGGAGGAGGAGGAGGAGGAGGACGAGGAGGAGGAAGAGGAGCAGGAGGAGGAGGAGGAGGAGGAGAAGGAGGAGGAGGAGGAGGAGGAGGAGGAGGAGGAGGAAGCTGCCCTGGTCCGCTCCTGGGCGCCTCCTCGCCTCCCCCCGCTGTGGGCCGGGCCCTCGGCTTCTCGGGGGGCCCCAGCCCCAGCACCCCGCGACCGCGGCCGCGAGAGAGGGCGGGGGAGAGGCCTGCCCTCTGATGCCTTCGATGCGGCAGAGAGGGAAGGCTGGTGCCCAAACCCTCTGCAAGCGACTCTGCCTACCTAGCCACCATCGCCGTCCCGCCGCCCAGGCACTGGCACTGCCTCAAATGACAAAACGTGAACGCGGGTTCAGGCACGAAGTCGTTCTCGAGCCACGCCTATCGGCTACACACAAGAGTGACCCACGACACCAGCATGTCCAGGGAGGAGCTCCCGATCCCTTCCCCGGGTGTAGACTTTCATCCTGGATTCGTTTTTGATAATTCAGGAGCCCGATCACGGGCTCTGGAAACCGACATCGAGGAAGCACGTCCAAATGTTATGTATTATTTAGACGGGCCCAACCATATGCTGCTGTGAAAGTCTATTGTGGGCACCGCTTTCGGTGGAGCTCCGTGTGGGGCCACGATCCTCGTGGGTGGCGTGCCGACATGGGAGGGGAACCAACCACATGCGAATCCTGCCAATCGGGCCTTCGGTGGAGCTCTCTATGGGGCCACGATCGTCGTGAAAGATGTGCCGACATGGCCAGGGAACCGCGTGCCAAGGCTGCCACCTCGCGAGGATTGTGACGACATGGGGGGGAGCCGCATGCGAACCCTGCCATTGGGGCCTTCGGTGGAGTTCCGTGTGGGAACACGTTTCTAGCGAGGGGGGTACCAAAATGGGGGAGGGAACCGCATGCGAACCGTGCAACTGGCTCAGCTCTCCATCTGCAACAAGGCGCGCAAAGCACCACGATCCGCATGCCCGACCCTGGGCCATCGAACTCCTCCACGCCCGCGGCCCCTGCAACGGCAAAGACAGCGACAAAGGAGAACGGTACGAACTCCTCCACACCCGCGGCCAGTTCATCGACGAAGAATCTGCCACTGGGACCTTCGGAGGAGTTCCCTGCAGGGCCACGATCCTCGCGAGGGGGTGTGCCGAAAGGAGGGGGGAAACTGCATGCGAACCATGCCACGGGAGCCTTCGGCGGAGCGCGCAAGGAGACCACGATCCTCGTGAGGGATGTGCCGAAGAGGGGGAGACGCACGCTAACCTTGCCATTGGGGCCTCCGCCAGAGCTCCCTACGGGGCCACGAAGCATGTGAGTGGCGTGCCGAAATGGGCAAGCGCAGGACGGAAGCAACGATGGGAGGAGGGAGGAGCGCCAGTACCTTCGGGTGGTAGGAGGAGGAGGAGGAGGAGGAGGAGGAGGAGAAGGAGGAGGGCGCGGGGCGCTGTCTCTTCAAAACGACTTCCTTGCCATCACCACTGTACTACTACTCTCGCCCTCGCGGGCTTCTCCACCTCCTTGGTCTCCCAGCGCCCCATGCGTCGCTTAGCTTGCACTAAGGTGGCGAGCGTTCGAAAGTGGTCCTGTTCGCGCACCTTTTCTCGCAAGAACGCAACAGCTGCACGGCCCATGTCCGACCAACGCAAAGAGAAGCCGCGCGGAGGAGCACAGCGTATCAGGATGAGTTCGTCAGCAACTCATGCCGCGCGGGTGGGGGGAGGCAGCGGGTCACCATCCGAACTGGCCGAAGCGTTGGGAGACCTTGTCACGGCGCCGCGACAGGCGGGCGGTGGCGAGACCAGCAGGTGCGAGGGACCAGGAGAGGCGGCAGAGGGCGACAGCACAGGAGGCTCCACAAAGGACGAGGTCGAGAGCTCGGAGGAGCGGAAAACCAGCCCAAGTGAGGAACACGAGTTTCCCGCACCCCCGCCCCATGTCGCCACGCCGGGACCCTCCTCCCACCACGCCACGCCCAGAGGGGAAGACGACAGGCGGCGAGGACGAGCGCGGGGAGGCCAAGCAAGGAACGGGAACATCCTGCGGAAGGAGGCTGGAGCGGGAAGCAGGCGAGGAGCACGCGCGCGCAACAGCAGCGCGCAGGAGCGACGGACAGGGGGGGGGGAACCGCATGCAGGTGCGAAAAACCGACTGGGCTGCGCCGAGCATCCGAGAAACGAAGGCCGAGCGGGTGCAAACGAGGGGGGGGTGCACATGCTGGGAGGGCGATGGCAGGGACCAGATGAACAAGACGCCCGGGCACGCGCCTGGCCAGGCACACGGGCGGAAGCAACGAGGGCCACTACGGTGGGAGGAGGGAGGGGGCGAGGCACAGCCGGCGCACCAACAGAAAACGGAAGCGACGGACGGAGCAGACGAGGAGCACGAAGAGCAGCGTCGGCCTACGAAGGTCCCGCAACGACTGGGAACAGAAGGTGGGGGCAGGCGGGAGGCAACGCAGCAGCAGGGGCAACGCTCGGGAGCGGAGGCCGAGGGGGGGGGCTGCGGAAGCGACAGAGAGGCGGCAGCAAACGAGGGCGGGACAGGGCCACCCGGCAAGTAGCGCATATCAGACCCACTCTTGGAGACCGCACAGGCGCGGACCACATCGGCGGACATTTCGGCGCAGTCAGACAAGGCGGGCCATCCTCACGCAGCTCCGCAAGTTTTCCAGCACGGTCAGGAGTAGCGGACAATGTGTCAGGGCTTTGCGGGCGCGGTGAACGCGGGGACGCCGGACACGAGCAGGGAGAAGGACTGAGACCCATCAGGACCACCCCGTCAGAGACTTCGCCATCAGGGTCAGAGCACTCATGCTCAGGTACCATCACCGGTGCGGACCGCAGAAAGGGAGCACCGTCGGTCGAAGTGTCGCCACCATCACTCCTGCAAGGGCCCCGGGAAGCCGATAACGAGGCTGAGCGAGTACGCTGCGCGGAAACAATTTCGAGGACTGGCGGGGTCGCAGTTCGCGCTCAGTCTTCTAGGCTGGCTCGGCAAGGCGAAGCGCGCGCAAAGAATCAAGAACAGCAGACCGCGGACCCAGTGGGGCGACGTAGTTGCGGCACATAAGGCTGCGGCACGTCGAGCACAAGCGCGCGATCTCTTCAACTCGCTCCACTGAATGGGAAGCAAGCCCAAGCCGTGCTGCCAGAAGGCGCGGGAGCGGGCGCCCACTGGCATCAGCGACAGCCCAGAGAAGCAGGGCGCTGTGGACCGGGGCACCCAACCAAAGATACAAATCCTCCGCACAGCAACGCATTGACTGCGATAGTTCGTTAACCACGCAGATGCAAAGGTCTCGATCATAGGGGTAGACCAACTGAATTGGAGCGGACACCACAACGTCCACATAGCCCCCAACGACACAGGGCGCAAGATGGCCTCCCAACTGCTTCGAAGCATCGGGACAGCCTCTGCTCGAAGACCAGACGAGGCGGATGAGGAGCAAAGCGAGAAGCATGCAGGGCACGAATGGCAGCCGGCCACTAGCGAGGGCGTCGGCCTGCCACCCGACATCGCTCGGCAATCGCAGAAGTGCAGCATTCGAGGAGTGGGCGGCCACGTCCAGCAAAATTACCAGCAGCGACCCAGGCGCGCGTCTGCACTTGCGGGGGCAGCCGCCAATGCCGACCAGCATCGTCGAGCCAGTCGCTCCGCTGTCCGGCCCCAACCAAGGCGGCGCCAGCCAGGAGACCCATCAAGCACCCGCTGGTTCCATGTTCTTGTCAACGCATTAATACTTTCAAGAATGGCAGGGTCATCCAGAAAAGTGACGAGAGCCTCTCAAGCATGGACGGCTAGACACGAGTGGAGTGAGAGGCATGCGAGGACCTCCCTGGTCCGCGCGCTGAGTCCAACCAGAACCAGGCAGCACCCCCAGGGAAGCGCCAGGGACCTGCGCGAGAACTGATAACTCAAGCGCAGCCATATTCGGAGGCAGAAGGTAGAACTGAGCAACGCAGGTTAATGCTGGTAGCAATTGAGATTCACACAGCACACAGTCGGCACCGATAGGCGCCGCCCAAGCCCCAAGCAATCCGCCGCGCAATTTCATCATCACGCACGGCGCCCCCCATTGCATCTGGATCGCGACAGCCGGGCCCAACAGAACTCCCAGGCACAGGAGGCGCGAGACGATCTCGAACGAACCCCAAGCCGAGACAAATTGAGCAAGCTAATCTCGACCCATGCCCCGAAGCGGTCGCTAAACTCAGCACGGGGCGGGGTAACCTTACATTTGCTGAGCCTCAGACAGGAGCCTGCGAGGCGCCGCGAAATGGCCATCACCCTGCAGACGACTCGGAGACCCCGAACTTCGAACCGAACATCCCCCACATCACACGCACAAGCCCGCGCCAAACCTGATCATTCCTCTTCTAGCGAGAGTTCCAAAACAGCTAAGACGGGCGATGTGCCCCAGGCATACAAGGAGCCCGAAAGACCACAGCCCTGCAGAATCCCTGAGCGGGCCCAGAAGAGATGCCGACTTAGGCCGCCATGGGCCACGACGCCTTCGACGGCCGAGCACAACCAGTTGAGGAAGGGCGCGAGAGGCTGAGGGGGGGCCCAAGATGAAACAGGAGCAGCGCGATGCACTCTTGGGAGATGCCGGGGGAAGCCCGACCGAAGTCGAACGACAGCAGGAGCAGCCATTAACGATGGGCGAGCAACGCGACTGCATCCGTCTAGCTCTAGCACGTCTGTTCCGATTGCTGCGCCCCAGAAGTTGCCGCCTTGTGAATGAAAAGGAACGAACGACCACGAACGAAAAGGTTCTGCATGCCGAAGAACGACTTGTGGACCAGCGACCTCAAGCAGGCTGGCAGCACTCGGCGAGGTGACAACCAATCGGCGGGAGAGGTAGACGCCTTGGCAACATGCAGTTCGGGCGCAACTCCGCGACAAACAGCGATGTTCCGTCATCAGCAGGGTTCTGACTACGCAACAAATCACGATACTCACGAACAGCCTCCTTCAGCATCTCTTTGGAGTGCCCCTGGTAAACAGAGACCAGGAACAACGAAGCAGCCCCTCGCCCGTCCCTTACCGACCCTTCGACCCACCTCTTGAACAATGGGTCCTCGAACATGTGGCGCGGCACCAGCAGTTCATTCTTCGTCTCAACAAAAAACCCCGACGCGTAGCCTGCACCGCTGCACGATCTGAGATGCAAGCACGGGACGACGCCTCAGGTTCACTGATTGCAATCGCCCCCGCATGCATCTGACAGAAAAATCCCCCCAGGAATCGAGCAGAAGAACCTGTCCAGGAAGTTAAGGGAGCTGGTGTCCCTGGCGCAGTGGGTCGGCTCCTCTGATGCAATCTCCAGCAGCGCCCCAGGCGAGCGATGCCAGCGAGTAGCCGACGCCCGATGGTTTCGAAGATCAGACGCCGAGGACCGAGACGGCCGGTGCAACGCCAGTGCCTCGCCTGGACCAAAGCTCCAGTTGCCCTGGACGACCACCACGCACATGAGAGGGCCGGACGCAGCACCACGGGCGCGATCGATCTGCTCTCCGGCCAAGCCCACTCGTGCAAGCACATGATCGTGAAAATCGGACGGCCACGTCCACATACGTCGACACGCAGGACCCTTCCTGGCACAACGGGCGTGGAGCAGGTGGACACATCAGCACTGCGCGCAACGCGCAGAGGAATGGCAGCGACACCTCCAACCGCAGATCCCCCACGACCTGCTCGGCAAAAGGAAGGCGCCTTTGCGTTGCAGAAGCGCGCGGGCATTCCATGTCAGGACCCGAACGAGTCTGACATCGCACCGCGATGCCGAAGCTCGAACAGTTTGAGCAGGTCGCTGAAGACACCACCGCGTTGGCGCGAACAGGGCTGCAACAGCAGCCACTGCCTCTTGCGCGAGAGCCCTCGTGGGACGCAGGTCGAGGGTGCCTTTCATCATTGTAGGCAGTAGAGTACGGCACTTCCTCGAGGTTGGCCTGGATCTGAAAAGGTTGGCCCAGCCGTTCTCGACGATGCACCCCTCGCGAGCGACGGTCCACCGACGACCGAACTGATCCGCAAGTGAATTACGTGCACGACGGAGGGCCATCTCTGCATTGACTTGCTGTCGTTTGTTGCCAAGACCACAGTGCAAGCGACCAGGGGTGGATCAATCAACCTTGACTCCAAATTCACGCCATTTGTCAGTCGTACGAAGATCCCCTGTAGCCTTGGAAACTTTCTCCGAGGCCAGCCACATGGCGCCGCTGAGTTTGAGAAGTGCACGCCGAGAGGGTGTCGGAGCGGGGCATGAACTGGCAGATTGACTGTGGGCGAAGGCAAGCTCATTGATGATAATTACCAAACACGCACTGGCTTCTGGGAGGCCGCTCATCTCCGTGGACATCGCGACAACAACTGCTAGATAGATCTTTCTATCGAACGACGCGGGCGGAGAGGGAGCTGTCTCTGGACGGCTTGCCATCTGTAGACACTCACGGAGCTCAGCCGTCTCCGTTTGCAGTAAGCGACTCTCTTCTGCGTGGGCATCCGCCTCCAGCGAAATCGACGCAAGATTACCAGACATGTCATCGAACTAGCGCTGCATCTTCCTCTCGAGAGCCTCGAGCTGGGGGGCGGACGACTTGCATGGCATGCTGGTCCATATCCGCGGGCTGGGCTTCGATCTGCTTGCGCAGAACATCAAATGTGGCGAGGATGTTCGAATTGCTGGACTTGACCGTCTCGCTGACGGCAGAGCTGACTAGGCCTTCGAACTCGGAGCGGACAGCGGTCAACTTCGTGGCGATGTCACTGGCAACGACAGCCTTGATGTAGACATCAGAATACTGG